AATTTAATCCCACTCTGATCAGAGAACATACTTTGTATGGCTTGGATTTTTTGAAACTTATTGAGACTTATTTTATGGCCTAGAATATTGTCTGTTTTGGTGAGTGTTCCATGTACACTTAAAAAGAATGTGTCATCAGCTGCTGTTAGGTGTAGTGTTCTATCAATGTCAGTTAGGTTAAATTGATAGCGCTGTTCAAGTTTTCTATATCCTTATTGGGTTTCTATTAGTTTTATCAATTATTGACACTATACATCTTGATTTTTCTATTTGTCCTTTTTTGCTTTTCTTTTTGTTTCTTTTTTTCGTGTATTTTGAAACTGTTTCATATATTGGTGCATAAATTGTCAGAATTGTTATATCCTCTTTACCAACTGTCTCCTTTATCATTATGAAATGACCTTCTATTCCTGATAATATTCTTTGTTTTAAAATCTTCTTGTTCTTATAGTAATATAGTCATTCTGGATTTCCTTTGATTTGTGTTATTATGGTATATATATTTCCACTCTTTTTCCTTTGACTTGTGTTTTTATATTTAAAGTGGCTTGTTACAGGCAGCCTAATGTTGAGTCATACTTTTTTATCCATCTTGAAAATGTCTGCCTTTTAATTGTGGTGTTTAGGCTGTTTACATTTAAAGGGATTATTAACATGGTCAGTTTTATATTTACCATGTTGCTATTTGTTTTCTATTTGCCCTGTTTGTCCATTTTATGATTTTTCCTCCTTTTCTGCTGTTTTGGATAATTAAGTGTTTTATGCTTCCTTTTTTTATTTCCTTAGATAAAGCTCTTCATTTTTTTAATTTTAATGGTTACTTTAGTGTTTCTCATGTAACTCTTTAGCTTATCCCAGTCTACCTTCAAGCAATATTATACCACTTCAAATATAGTATAATGACCTTCCCACAATATACTTCCATTTCTCCCTTCTTTGCCGGTGTGCTCTTATTGTCTGTCATGTGATTTACTTCTATGTACATGATAAACTTCACAGTACATGGTTATTATTTCTTATTTCTTCTTGTCAGTTGTATTTTGAAGAGATTTTTAAAAGAAACCAAAAACTTCATTCCTTTGTATAGATACTGATTTCTATCTGGTATCATTTTCCTTCTGCCTGAAGGATTTCCTTTAATGTTTCTGAGACTTCAGGTATGCTGGTGATGAATTCTTTCAACTTTCATATGTCTGGTGGAAGTCTTTTTGGTGGTTATTTTTTGTTTGTGGGTTGACTTGTTTTAGATAGAAATTTTTACAGTTTGATTGTTTGCTAATGTGCAAAATGGAAAATGATGATGCAGTAGCACAGTCTAGGACTAGGGGAGAAAGGGCAGGATTCAGAACAGAAGGCTTGGTTTCAGATACAATCATGAAAATTTATCTACGCTCACAAGAGGAAAGACTGAGCAGATGTTTACTGATGTGGGTGAGTTGATTGATCTGTTAACGGATACAATCAAACTGGGTTTCCAGGTTTGAATCGAAGATCCGCCATTTAATAGCTGAGTAATCTTCAGCAAATTATTTAAACCCTTTGAACTTGGGTTTTCACATCCATAGAATAAAATGAACAGCTGCCCAACAGAGTGACTATAGCAATGAAACAAGTTAATATATACCAAACACTGAATACACGGCCGGGCACATTGTAAGTGCTCCATACCTGTGAGGAAAAAATGTGTAACTTTTTTTAGCTTTACTGCCTGAGTCAAGGAGAAAAGATTCTAGGATCTCATTTTTCCACCTGTACTTTCTCTTATCCCCCCTTCTCTCACCCCACCTTCCTTCCCAAAAGAACACATTTAAAACTCAAATGCCAGGCTGTCTGCAGATTCAGTGTTTAAGACTGACAACATTTGGAGGCCAGATGTTAACTGATGTAAAACACTATTAAGTGCTCAGTAGACCGGAGGCTGAGGCAATGATTTCCAATTTTATGATTATTTTTTGAATCTATAACAAACCAATCTGCCATTCCTCCCAGCCCCCCACCTCCACCAAAAAGATGCATAGCCTATTCATTCTCAAGAGAGTATAAATTATTTTTAAAAATATGAAGTTCTTGAAATATTAACTAATGGCATTTCAAACCCCTAGAACTGGGGATGCAGCCTCCACGTAGACCTCAGCACCTCCTTGCAGCTCTCTCTGAAAGGCCAATGGCTTGTGAAACTTGATCTGAAAACTAGTCTCATTTTCTGAAATAAGCCCAAGTCATAATCACACACACACACACAAATGCTATAGCAAGTTTTTAAATCAACTGATATTTTAAATTTGAGCTTCCTTAGGATTAGTATGGGAGCTGTCCCAATGACAGGAAGTCAGTAAATGAACTCTTCTCCTAATAAAGAAGTATCTATTTTCAAATAGCAATAAGATGGATCTGCTAGGAATCACTGAGGTGATTGTTAGTGTTTAATACACTTATACACTCAGTTATTTTTCATTAATCTATTGAACAGACATTAGTCAGAACTAACAGTATGTCCCAGGCCCAGTGCTAGGCACTAGTTAATGCATTGGTAAATACAACAGATGACCCTCATGGAGCTTAGAGTTTTATGACAGAGGAAGACAATTAAAAAATAATGAGCTTACAAATAGAGGTAGCAAAAAGTTGAAATAGGTGCTATGAAGATAAGGGGCCCTCCACAAATAATGAGTTGGGAAAGGAATTTTTTATTTTATTTTTTATTTTATTTTATTTTATTTTTTAGTAGCTAACTTAATCCAAGGCTTAAAGAATGAGAAGGAGGCATCCATGCAAAGACTAGAGGAGACAACAAGCAGGGAAACCAGCATTTATTTATTAATTTAACAAATATTTCTTTAGTACTTTCTGTGAGCCAGGGAGTGTTCAAAGCAAATAAAATATACTAGTGAACAAAACACACACATGCAAAACCGCTAAGATTGGAAAGGATTTGGGAAGTCCCTAGAACAGAAAGGAAGCCCCTGAGGCTGAATCACACTTAGCAGAGGGGAGTGTGGTATAAAATGAGGTTGGAGGGGTGGTGGCAGGGACTGGATCATATAGGGACTTGTAATCCATGGTAAGGAGGTTGGATTTTATTTGAAATGCAATGACATGATTTGATTTTTATGTTAAGAGATTTCTCTTGTTGTTATATGGAGAAGAGTTTGGAGGATGGGGGAGAAAGTGGAAGCAGGGAGATTCATAGGGTGGCTATTCTAGTTCAAATGAGATTTTAATGCACTGAAATCATGGTGGCAGCAAAAATGAAGTGTATAGTTTTGTTGTAGGATGAATAGAACTTCTTGGCCAACTGAAGAAGAGGAAGGGAATTTGAGGAAGGAGATCAATCATGGATCATTCAACTGAGTAGATGGCAGGTCCATTTACCACAGTGAGCGAGACTGGTTGAGTAAGTGGATGAGGGTGGGGAAGGTTTGGACAAAAGACTAAAATTAATTCAAGTTTGCTGGCCTAAGTCATAAACAATGAAATCAATCCGAAAGTGAAATTCATGTCTCGTGAGCTTAATGTGTCCCCCATCACTGGAACATATACCAACAAGCAAAGTGACCACCTATCAATAATATTTTAACTATGTATCAAGCAGAATTCTAGAACTCATTTCCAGATGGCAACAATTCCTGGAAGCCATCACTGGTTTTCCCAGATCAGGATCATTTCTCTTGAAGGGAATTTCACTTGCGTTGGAGCTACTGGAAGCTGACACAATATTTGTAAATAAATATTTTATTTAATTAACAGGTTTTCTTTTTGGCAGGGCTACAAACATATAAATGGGAATACTTAATACCTGTTAAGAGACCATTTGAAAGAGCTACCATATGATCCAGCAATTGCACTACTGGGTATTTACCCCAAAGATACAAAAGTAGGGATCCGAAAGGGTACGTGCACCCCGATGTTTATAGCAGCAATGTCCACAATAGCCAAACTGTGGAAAGAGCCAAGATGTCCATCGACAGATGAATGGATAAAGAAGATGTGGTATATATATACAATGGAATATTATGCAGCCATCAAAAGGAATGAGATCTTGCCATTTGCAACGACGTGGATAGAACTGGAGGGTATTATGTTGAATGAAATAAGTCAAAAAGAGAAAGACATGTATCATATGACCTCACTGATAGGAGGAATTCTTAGTCGCAGGAAACAAACTGAGTGTTGTTGGAGTGGGGGGTGGGGTGAGAGGGATGGGGTGACTGGGTGATAGACACTGGGGAGGGTATGTGCTCTGGGAAGCGCTGTGAATTGGGCAAGACTGTTGAATCTCAGATCTGTACCTCTGAAACAAATAATGCAATATATGTTAGGAAAAAAAAAAAGAAGAAGAAGAAGAAGGTAGCGGGAGGGGAAGAATGAAGCGGGGGAAATCGGAGGGGTAGACGAACCATGAGAGACGATGGACTCTGAAAAACAAACTGAGGGTTCTAGAGGGGAGGGGGGTGGGAGGATGGGTTGGCCTGATGGTGGGTATTGAGGAGGGCACATTCTGCATGGAGCACTGGGTGTTGTGCACAAACAATGAATCATGGAACACTTCATCTAGAACTAATGATGTAATGTATGGGGATTAACATAAGAATAAAAAAAAATAAAATAAAAACAAAAAAAACAAAACAAACAAAAAAAGAGACCATTTGAATATCTTCTATGACAATCTTTTAGAAAAGATGGAAAACGTAGGCTGGAAAATCCTGAGCTGAGGGAAATTGGTACACCCGAAGTGCAACGTAGAGTAGCAGCGCCACAGAGTAGTACATTCTCAATCTTGGGGCCCTGCCCTCCCCCATGCTTTATAAAGTCCACGTACAAAACACATTCTCACCCAAAACTATTATCATTTGGGGGGACCCCTACCTTTCCTGAGAATCACTGTCCTACAGAAAGTGACCATTACTGTTAAGAGTCATCCTAACCCTTAGGAGGTTTCAGTGGATGAAAGTCTGAGAGTTGGGTTGATAATTAGAACATGTAAAGAAACGTACACTTACCTTATAACATTCATACTTCTGAAAATCATTTTTTACCTGGAAACAGATTGACAGAGCACTTTGTAAGCTTGTTAGAAATAACGTTCTTGTAATTACGAGGTAAGATTGTTTACATTTGTTTTCCTTGTGCATCAAATCATATAACACAGGAACAACACAGTGTGAAGTTATTAAAGGAGCACATTAAAATAATCTTGTGCTCCTGTTTTCCTTGTGCATCAAATCATATAACACAGGAACAACACAATGTGAAGTTATTAAAGGAGCACATTAAAATAATCTCCTTAGCATTTGAAAAGAAAAGCTTTTAAAAATATGACACTCACATAAAATCATTAGAAAAATGAAGTATTGGTATTACATTTTTGTTTATGCATTTCTTTTGTGAAATGTTTACAACCCAAGAAAGGATCTGAAACAACAAGTGAAAGAAAGGGGTTGCAACATAAATTCCTCAGCAAAATTAAAGCTTTCTACCAAAGGAACATTAAAAGGAATATTCATTCTTGGCACTTCGATCTCTGATACCGTCAACACCAAGGGATGAGAATGACTGCTGCCAAAGAGGACCATTTGCCTTCTCTTGGGCTCAGTACCCCAGGGAAGGTATTCCAGCCCTCTGCTGGAGGTGATATTTGATAGCAAACCCCAGGTTCTTCTTTGTGGAACTAGCTTTTTAGAGGTCAGTTAGAGAAGAGAGCAGAAGATAGCTCGGTGTCCCCACACCACTCACATCCCGTCTTGTTGGAGAAGTACATCAAGGGGAGCTGGTAAAAGTTCCTTGGTCCCAGATCAGTCATTCCTTCATTGGTATATCCGTCAGACATTTATTAAGTACCCATATTCTGACAGACATGGTGTTTAGCAATGAGCTAAAAACAATATGAAAAAGATGTTCTGTGTTCTTGAGGAACACAGCAGTTTTGGGGAGCAGACTAGGACACTAATAATTATGCTGGACAAGTGCTATGGTAGAGATACATAGATATCAATATATGTCTAGCTATATGAGACAATGGAGCAACTAACTCAGCTCGGAAAGGGAGCAGGCAGGAGGAAAATTAAATCACTAGCTTAATAAATGACACCAAATTAAAACACAAGCATCATCTGACCAAAGTCTTTGGTTACAAAGGGAGCAGAAGTGGAAATTGGAAAGAATCCAAGGACAGCCTTCCCACTACCCCTATCAGATCTCAACCCAAGTGCACCATCTGGGAAAAATAGTGGGGTGGGGGGAGAGGCGTGCCCTGGTGTATAGCAGGAGACCACCTTTGGGGTTTATAGAGTGGGTCTGCTGACCACCCAAATGGAAGAAACACTCTTCTCCATACCAGTCTCTCCCACACTGGTAGGTTTTATTTTCCTCAAAGCAGTTATCACTATCTGATATTACCTTATTTGATTGATTTATTGTCCATCCCTCCCCACAAGGACCTTGTCTGTCCTGCACATTGTGGTATTCTCAGGCCTGGAACAGTGCCTTATTTTATAGTGGGCACTTAATGAATGAGTTGAATGAATGATCATTAACAATATAAAATCACATCAGGCCGCACTTGAGAACCAATCCTTCTTCTATCTCCAAAATGTCTAATCTCAGAGGGGCCTCAGAGATCTTCTGAGATCTTCACTCATTCTTTTCTTCATTCATTTCAGGGGGGAAAGACTAAGGTGTGGGAGTCAGAGTATGGGGCGTCTTTGTTTCTTTCCAGTTCTTTCCCCACAGAGCAGGAACTAGAAGCCAGATCTTCAGAATCCCAGAGCTCTTCAGCATTACTTAGCTACCTCTGGTTAAACCTCTCTGTGGGGAAAGCAATTTTGGATCATTGCCATGAATGTCATTTTCAAAGCCCCTAGGAAGAAAAGAAAACAGTGGGAAGCCGCTTCTAGAATTCAGATGAGCCCAACATCATCATTCTCCTTCCTCTTCTACGGGAGGGAAGTCACAGACTTTGGAACTGAATTCTTGAGGCAGAACCGCATTATGCTGTAACCATGGCCAGAGGAGATCTGCCTACCTGCAGCGAGGCCATGGGCTCTACATCACGCTGGCTGTGATTTTGCACAGTTAAGTCCTTCCTTAAAAATCAGGCCTGGCAGCAGCCTGCCGCCTTAATTATATAAAGGTGGGTCACTGCCATTGGGGGTAAAAATGCACACCCCTGTGCAGCTTCCCCACCTGCAGGGACCAGATAGCACGCTGAGCTGATGGCCAACGTAAGTATGTTTATCGAAACTATAAGCAAACATTTGAAGATGTTAGTTTCCAAGTCCAATTGTGGGAAATATTTTCCCACAGAACTTTAAAGAAACCTGGCATTTTTCTCACAGATGTACCACCACCATCCACACACACGCATTCTATACACAAACATAGACACAAAAGTTCTCAAAAGCCAAAACTCCCAGGATGCCATTCCTGGGATACTGCAGGGAGGTGGGAAAGAATGGGGAAAGAGGAACTATCAACTCCACCGAGGGACTTCTCAGAAGTCTTCACCTGCCAGAGGTTTTATTCCAAGTAGAAGAAGCTTTTTGTCAGATGAGAAATATAAACTGTGAGATCCTCACATTCGTTTAACAAATACTGGTTATATGCCTTCTGGCGTGAGACTCGCTTCTAGGCCCCAGGAATACAGAATGGATGAGGCTCAGCCCCTGCTTCAAGGTCACAGTCTAGTGGAGTGAAAGAGATGGGTAAACAGAGGAATACAATCCAGCGTGGCAGATTCTGGCATCAAGAAGGGTGGTGGGGACATGGAGGAGAGCTCCCTGGGCACAGACTGCTGGGTGTCATTAAAGGAGATCACACTTCAGAATGTTTCAAATGAAGTTTTACATTTTGGAGGCTCCATTTTCCTCGTCTTTGAAATGGGAGGAAGAGAATGAGCCTTCCTGAATTGTAAAAATTGAGGGATGTACGCGATACTCAATGAATACATTTTTAAAAAAGAAAAGCAAAATTGAGACTGCAGGGCCCTCTCCCTAAATGGTGGTGAGCCACTATGCTGCCCTGTGAGCTTAAACCTCCTTTGGAGAGCTCACGATCTTTACAGTGGAGCTATTTATCAGAATAAGCCAGAGACTCCCCTTGAGAAGGGCTGAGTTGAAAAAGTCTCCTCTGATTCAGAAACGAATTATTCCTAGGAGGTTGCTTCATGAGTTTTTGTCACAGAAATTGGGGTGTGTGCAGGTAATTGGGGGTCAGGAAGCAACAGCCCTGGAAACAATTGCAGGCAATTCTTGCAATCACCTGGCTTAGCTTGAATTCTTGGAAGTAGAGTTTCTCTTAGTTTAATAAAAGGTTTCATGTATACCTTGTGGTTCTGTTCTTTATCCCTGATTTTTCCTCCTAGGCTTATGAATAAGGCCTCAGTCACATTTCTCCCTCCGAGACTGGCACGCAGACCCACCTGCTCTGACTGGAGGCTGGGAGGTGCCTCCTTGGGAGGAAGCTGTAGCCGTCTTCTGCCATCTGCTGGCTCCCTCTTTGCACCACTTTGGGGCTGGCTTTGCATGGATTCTTCGGGAATGGAAACCTCCAGCAGAGAAAGTGTGGGGCAGAGAAGGTTCTCGCTTTTATTAAAAAAGAAGGAGATTTGAAGAGGGCAAACAAAGTGGCATAGGGGGGCTTTTCCCATGATGGGGTTTGTGTAGAGGTCACCATCTCAAATATCTCAGGCAGTGTGTTTTCGATGCAAGATTGGTTCGTTCAGGGAGAACACAGCCATGTGTTTTAGTTCATTTTCTTTTGCTTTGTTTTGTTTCCTTTCATTTTCCTTGTATTCTTAGATCATCGCCTTATAAGGCTGATCAAATATTAGGCACTGCCACATCTCTATAGACTCATTTGAAAGAAACAACAGCCCATGTCGGTGGGAACCGAGAGGAGAGTAAGCAGGCAGGAAGAGGGAAGGGAGAGGAGAAACATTTCACAGTAAATCGCAGTATTCGTTAATCAGTGCGGCCAACATTTTTTTGAGGATCTGTTATTTACAAGGCTCTGACCCAGATGCCTGGGATGCAAAAGTGAGTAATATATCGGGTCCCTTCTCACCGGGACATAAGAATCTAGTGGGACTCAGTTAAACAGAGAATTAAGCAGAGAGGTGCACGTGCTGTGATCAAGTATGGCAGTCAAGGAGCCGAGGGGAGCACAGAGGAGGAACATGTGTTTACACCAAACTCTGAGCTGCACTGTCAGAGAAGACTTCCTGGCAGAGGTGCCCTGAGCTGAAGTTTGAAGGTAGTGGCTTATTGGAGACTGACGGGAAGGGCTTTCCCTTTTCCGGGAGCGCCGCTTCTTACCCCCAGGGTCACCTGCTACCACCACGGCCTCGAGAAGCTGAGACTCTAGATACAAAGCAGGAGAACGTTGTTGAAATATTCAGTCTTAGACAAGGAGCCATTGATTCAGCCCACGGCGATTGGCCCAGGCAGGGAGAAGCAGGCAGAATCATGAGGGAGGGTAGCATGCAGAATCCTGGACAGGAGAGAGCCGTTTCTGGGACTTTCTCCGAACCTAAAGGAAAGGTAATACTGTTTGTGTCCACATGCTGGATATGGACAATCCCTTCCAGGGAAGTACAGTGAAATATTCAGAAATTCACGAGTGACATCCTCTCTTAATCTGAAATATCTGAGTGACCTCATCTAAATATTACAGTAGCTGTAGGTTCAAAGATATCAACTATAATATTATTTAAGATCATAAGCGCAATGCCAACAGTAAAGAAAATGTTTAAGAAAGTATGGTACGGTGTCTGGGTGAACCATTAAGTGCCAGGACCTGGAAAATGATTATTTCAGAAACCGCAGTACATGAAAATACTTGTACAAAAAAATCATGATCCAAGTCTACAGGAAAAAAATTTGCAGAAGGAAACATACTAAACTAATAAAAGTGGTATTTTTTTCTCTATTGTCTGTTTTATTTAATATATAAAAGTATTATGATGATTTTTTTAATACAAAGAAGCCTAAAGGTGAAATGTGTGTCCTGATTAAGGCAGGCGCAAAAAATTTATCCCACATAATTCATCCTAAATGAATTATCCCCATTTATGTGTTTGTTTCTGATATTTCAGATTCCATTTTCTCCCTAATTGTGTTTCAGTTTGTGTGGTCTATTCATTTTGCTTGTTAAGTCTGTCCTCAATCTTCCCCTTGCCCACACCCCTCCTCCCACCCTGGATCTGCGGGATGTATTGTGATGTCTGCCTGCTAATTTTGCTGTGACTGGGGCTGGTGTCTGGTTGGTGATTCATGTTTGTTCCTAAGTTGTACATCTGTGTTGGTTGCTTTGAAACAGTGCCCCAGGGAATATGAAAGGCCGTTTGTCTCACTGAGACTGCTTCTTTGCACCAGAATTCTTCCCTGGCTTCTTCTGAATTCCAGCAAGCTCTTCTAGGAGTTTAAAGTTTAGGCATGGTAAAGAATGAAGAAAAACAAAACAAAAACAAAAGGGAACAGTACAGAGAGAGTTTGGTGTCTAGGTCTAGTCCCTGCTTACCCAGTAGGACCAAGCCTCTTATATATACCAACCCTGGGGACAGAATGCCTTGTGACATCCACTTTAAGGGTAATGCCTTGTGAGCTTAAACTTTCTGCCCACCAGGAATGCCTCTAGCAGAACATAGGGCAGAGTGAGGCCTGGTGGAAACTCTCAGTGGAAAAAGTTCTAAGACTTTGGTCGGCGTACCCACTTGGTGCCTGTCTAATATTTTAGCACAGGAACACGCATTCATAATGTTTAATGACTGCTACTGCATGGCGCTGACCAATTAAATGGACGCAGGCCATAGGGCTAAACCTAGAGACCCCTGCTGTTCCAGACACCAACCCTTTAGTTACTGCATCACGGGGGAGACCAGCAAATTCTGGAGGGCCTGGGGCAACGGCTGGCTGCCAACTGTTACAAAAGTATTTCAGTGTTTTAATATCCATCAAGGCTGAACAGATACATCCCAAATGAATAACATGAGTGCACATGAAACTTCAAAGCTCGTGCCCACTCTTAAGCTTTCTGTAGGGCCATGTTCACCTTTTAAGAACTTCCCTCTTTGTCCTTAAGAAGAGTTCAGAGCCAACGTCAGGACCTACCGGTTGTACAGGATCTGGGTGGCACAAAGGAGCCCTTCTCCACAAAGGAGCTCTTTATTTCGCCAGCAACTAGTATAGATCTCCCCCAAGGAAAGTTTGCAAGTCAGCTTTCATTATAGTTTCACTCACTGCAATGTAGCTGGCTTACAGCATAGCTCTGTCTCTAGGCAGGCGGAGAAACAAGCAGGTGTGAGTGATTTGCCCACCTGCCTGCTTGCCTGCAGTCTTTGAAAGGCAGCCCCATCCCAGACCATTAGCCTGCTGCGAAAATCGATGCACTGGTGCCTTGGAAGTCCAAATACATATTGGATTGTTATGGCTCTTTCTTGTCCTTTTAACCAGAGATTCTCACCCGCTGCTTCTTATCAGACACCTGGTGTTTGTAGGTGGGCTAAAAGCAGCTTCTCAGAATGGTCTCCAGGGAAGCATTATAACCTTGCATTCTGTTATTTCTTCTTTCCTGTCTCAAAGAAACCTACAGCTTCAGGGTAATTTGCTGCTTCTCCTGTCCTCATTCAAGATAACAGTCAAGGCTGCTCATAATCTTACTGACTCTCTACATACCAAACACAAATTTTGTTTGAATTCAGAAGAAAAACTGTACTCAGCTAGCCAGCAAGCCATTCTGATACGCTGTGATTAGAGAAGTCTGGGGTGGTAGAGAAAGGAATTGGAAGACTTGGGTCTTCCAGTACTCATCCTACAAGGTACGAGCATGTGACCTTGAACAAGTATTTAAAATCTCTCTAAGCCTCATTTTCCTCAACTGTAGAGCGTGGTCATACTATATACTTCATAGGGTTGTAATGAGGGGTAAGTGGAATCATATAGATCAGAAAGCAATTTGTAAACTAGAGAAATATAAGCAAAATTCACCCCAAGACAGCGGGTTGTAAGAACTAGTGAAAGAAAAGACCATGAGTATAGAAATAAATGATGGCAGCTGGATGAGTGTGAAGGAAGCCCTCTCTTGTGGTCTAGCTCGGAGGAGAGAACATTCCCAGCTTCATACCTTCTTCAGTACCTCTCTGCAGAGCTGTAGCTGGAGACCAGTGAGTGGTCTAGAGAAATGGTAGGCAAGAGGGTTCCTGGCAGTTTAAAGCAACGGGAGGTAGTGCATGCGAGGAAGATGCATAGGGGATGATGGAGAGCGTGGGAAGGACACAGTGCCTAACTGATACCAGGCTGGGGAGAGAGAGAGGACAAGAGACAAGATCTCCACTGCTCGCATCAGTGTGTTCATTGATCAGAGCTTGTTCGACTAATCTGGGATTGAGGGTACCTTCCTAGGGTGAGCCGACTGACTGGAAACCCTAATGGCTCTCCTGTGCTGGAGCCAGTGGCTAGACCCTCCTCCAGGGATAAAGCCTCTGCATACCTGGAGGGTAATTTGACATTATCAGATTAATTAAATCATTTTCTGTGGTTAAACTTGCATATGAATATTAAGTCTCAGACTGGGCCTCCCATCTAAACAGCCAGTGAATGTTTTCAGGATAGCACTGTGTTCCTGAAACATTGAGAAATATGCATATTGTATCTTTAATGAGATCGCGATGTTTATTTATGGCAGGAAGAAGCCTCCCAGCTATGGAGACTGATTTAAGTGATAGTTTGGCGTCTGACATCTAGAGCTGTGTTGGATGCTGTCTCTGGAGTTGCTTGTTATCACCAAATGACTTTATGGTTGGCTCTTATTCTGAATTTGTCCAAGTTGCTCTTGCCCCTGAAAGGCCATGGGGCTTTGCTCCAGGGTTCACATCCTGCCTCCACTATTCACTGAAGACTGGACTTCTGGGGGACTGTTTCCTTTGTACACCATGAGAATAATAATGACTACAACTCAGAGCTGTCTGGAAGATGAAAATATTCGTACAATGTAAAGTTTTATGTAAGATGCCTGGCACACATTGGTTCTCCATGTTTGTGCGTCTGATGTCCTCCTCCATGCTTATGTGACCAGCGTTTTTTGCTTTCTCTTAAGCTTTGATGTGGAAAATGGCCCTTGCCCAGGTCGGAGCCCCCTGGACCCCCAGGCCAGCTCTTCCTCCGGGTTGGTGCTCCATGCCACCTTTCCCGGGCACAGCCAGCGCAGAGAGTCCTTTCTCTACAGATCAGACAGCGACTATGATTTGTCACCAAAGGCGATGTCACGAAACTCTTCACTTCCAAGCGAGCAGTAAGTACTAGCCCCGGGTAGCCCCTGTCTCACACTTACCTCACCTTTAACCTGTCACAGCAGCAACAACAACTGTTCTCCCTTTAACCTGTGGGAAGGAGGGAGGAGAACAGTGAACATGAGCAGAGGTGATGATGATGATCCTTAAAAGACATTAGTGCTCTACAGGCATGAGAAATATGTCGCTGGGCTTTCCAAGGGTATGAAAATCTCAGGCACAGTGTGCAGTTTTCGTCTGTTATTGATCCTTTTTTTTTCCTTTAAATTGTCATTCAGCTTCATTTCCTGAACTGTTGAATCATTTATGGGTTGAGAACGTTAACACTTTTTGCAAATCATACTTGAATTTTCCATAGCATGTGCAGTTTGCATGAGGCTATGGTGAAAAAGAAAAACAGTAGTTGGGGACATGCCTCCTTTCTCAGTGGTCTTTGCTTGGTGACCTTTAATAAGCTGTCATCCAGACACATGTCTGTGTCCCTTCTCTGGAACCTTAACTCAGTGCCCACTTGTTGCCTGGCTCCTTGGTGAGACACAACACACTCCAGCACCCTATTAAACAGAGCTGATGTTTTTGTTTTGCTGCTATTAATTGTAGATCTCTAATTTTTAAAGAACAATGACGGGTTCTATTACTCGTTTATTAAATTTCTGAAACCAAATAAAGTTGGATGCCAGAATTCATGCCTTAAAAGATTTCTGGGCACACGTACAATTGTTTTTAACATTGTATGTTATAAAAATATTGGTAGCTCCCTAAAGCCTGGAAATTTCCACTGGGCTCTCTTGTGCTGTTGGGAAAGAAGTTAAAGAGGGTCACTCTCTTATGAAAGGGGGCAGGGGACATTTTAAAAGCTACCAGTGAGAAAGGATTCCCCAGGGCATTTCTGCCAACAAATTCTAACAGATGCACCCCTGGCCTAAAATGTCTCAATCATTGGATGGGCCAAAATTCATGTATTCATTCATTTGGCAAATACTTCCTGAATCTCTCCTATGTGCCATGCAGTGTGCTAGGCTCTGGGGATAAAAGATTAACAAAACAGTGGAAAAATCACAAATGAGTTAAAAACAGATATTCTCAGAAAGGTTGCATGCTCTCAGGGAGGCTATAGTTAATAAGAAAGGTAGGAGGAACACCCACATAACTCTACTACGGAGTGGAAGGAAACATTTAATGAGTGCTTACCACAGGGCCAGCAGCCCTGAGATATGTGTTATTTCTTTTAATCTTCACAACAGTCCTCTCAGGTAGGTACCACTGTTATCTCCACTGTATAGATAATGAAAGTGAGCCTCTGAGAGACTGAGAAAACTGCCCCATCCCATGACTGTATGCCATGCTATATCCCATGACGTAGCTAAGACTGACCATATTCGAAACTTTTCAATTCTATTTGCCTATGTTCTTCAAACTGCAGAGTAGAATCTCTACCACCCGGTAGGAAACAGATGAGTGCAGAGTCAAGGTGCCTGAGGCTGGAGGAGAGGTAACCACTTTGCTGCACATCATGTAGAACCAAGGATGTTTTTTGACCAAGGTTGGCATGAGTGCTTGGCTGAGTCTACCTGGAATTTCCTCTCTTACCAAGAGAAACACCTCTCTAGACGTCGTAGGTGGAGAGCATAGGAAATGGGGTGAGCCGAAAGTAATTAGAGCTTCATTCACATAGCGTTTGACCGGTAAAAGACTAGCTTTGGAAGGCAGCTCACAGTTCCCCAAACTCTTGCCAAACAGCATGATGAGTGTCAGGGTCATTCTGAGGCTTCCCAGAAGGTTCCAACTGAATTTCAGATTAAACTCTGATGATTTTTTTAAGAACCAAAGGTTATGAAAATTTTGAACTTGAGGAGACCTTAGAGATTACAGTCCAACTCATTCTACAGCTCTAAAAAGAGACATCTAATTCTGAATGACTCTGCATGTAGGGTCCCTAATATTCACCGTTTATCCTCTTTTCAATTTTACCAACCAGCAAAATTTTCCCCCTAACTTAGAACCTACGTAGCGTTGCCAACTTTAGATTTAGGCAAATAAGAATTGTATATGTAAGTTGTCTAGTATCATTCTCACTGTTTTTTTTTTTTTTTTAAATACTTCTTAGAATTAAAAGGAAAAAAAATTTAGAAAGGACACACTTTCATAATAAAGAATAGCCCTTCCCAAGAAAACACAGTGGGCAACATAAGATCACCCTAACAAAGATACTGATAATAGAATCTATTAAAATCTTTGAGTGAATAAAAATGGCACAATTTTTTATTTTGCAAATGTTTCAACATTCCAGTAAAACTTTTATATATCTGTCAGTTTAGGAAGAGGAGCTTGAATAATATCCATATTTTTCCAGTATTTCATTTTATCAGGACCATGTTGGAAAGTCCAGTTTCACACAAGTAGCTTTGAACTACACTGAAGTAATGCTCTCAAAAGTATTTCACTTGGGGGAGCCTGGGTGGCTCAGTCCTTAGGCGTCTGCCTTCGGCTCGGGTCGTGATCCCGGGGTCCTGGGATCGGGCCCCACATCAGGCTCCCTGCTCTATGGGGAGCCTGCTTCTCCCTCTCCCACTCCCCCTGCTTGTGTTCCCTCTCTCTCTGTGTCTCTCTCTGTCAAATAAATAAATAAAATCTTTAAAAACAAGTATTTCACTTGATTCTTACTCTTCAGAGTGAATTGAAATGAATAGAGGAACAGCACCCCCCAAGCCTCTTACTACTTTTCCTGCCTTCTACCTATGGAGCCAAGAAAAAGAAGGACAATGATAGGTCTAGAGTCCTGATGTGAAGGCCACTGGGTGGGGGCTATGGGACGCTCCCTGCTCAGGAGTTCCTCATATTCAGGACAGCGCCATCATGGATTTATGTAGGAAAACTTGTGTAATTCCTCTGTCTGTATTAAACCCCAGGGTAGAGACTATGCTAGCTTTTCCACATTTCTCATCTGAACACTTTCAGAAGAGTAAGAGGAAACATAGGCAGGGAGAGTGAGTGAGAAGATATTAGGAGTAAAAATGTGAATTGAAAATGGGCTTTAACTTTTAGCAACAAAAGAGAGACTGAAATGAGGCTTTCTAGTAAAGAAAACAAGATCATCATTGGGTCCCCTGAGGAAATTTCATATGCTTTCTTAGATGTGGCAATACTCTGCTGATTTCTCTTTTGTTCCTGTGTTATAGTCATCTCTAACGTAATTGCCTTTGTACACAGAGGTACAGATTTCCCAATGGGAACATGAAGTCCTGAAAACTGGTAAGACCAGTTACGTTGTTCAAAACTGTGGCAGGAACCACCCTGAACAGGATGGAGTTTTGACAGTCCACCTGCAAATCCACAGGGAGGGAAGATCCATATTTCCTTCATTTGGTCACCCCATTTGCAAAGCCTTATATAGGCAAAGAGCTCTTTAAAGCTACCATTTGTGTGAGAACTAAATGGTCTCTAGAGAGGGCACTCAAGGGAAATAAGACCTAAGAACGAAGAGGGAAAGCATTAATAACTGCTCACTTGAATTTAAGACCAGTTTATTAATGGGCTACCAAAAAAGTACAATGTGGTGTTTAAGACTTGAGTTAGACCTACAGCCATCACGCTTACTAGCATCATGACTTTGGCATTGAATCTCCTTTACAGTGTCTAAAGTATCTGTAAATAAAAGTGCACGTAAAATAAAAGTGCATTTTCTATGTGCTAGGGAGTATTTAAAGTACATCTGTTAACTTATTTAATTCCCATAATCTTACTTGAGTTGGTACTATAATTTTCTTGTCTTAAAGACAAAGACATTGATGCTTACGGAAGTTAAGTAATGTGCCTAATAAATGGGGAACCAAGGCTTAAGTCCAGGGCGTGTGGATGATTAAATCATAGGGATATTTAGTATAAATACAGACTCAAAATGAAGATGAAAAATAAAAATAATGATATTAATCTCTGCTCTGCCTACCTTCCCAGCTGTTATGAGGATCATATTCATTCTTTCTTCTAACAAAAACTTAAATTTAGGCACTTGCTAACAAATAAGACATTTTCTGTGTCTTCAAGGCAGCTAAAGGATGAGTTAAGTCTATAGGCAATTTTGATATCTTTGAATAAGGGCAGTCGCAGAAAGGTATGCAGAGGACTCAAGCGAGTAGTAGCCCACTTTGAGCAGCCAGAAGAGTTAGCCAGGCAGAGGGTTATGCAGGAAGAAGGGCTACGTGCTAACTACTCTCTAGTTGTCAGAAGCATTATGGAGAAGCACAGCTCAGTGCAGCTGAGGCAGAGAATGTGAGTGGATGAGGAAGTGGTGAGAGGCAAGGCTAGAGAAGTAAGCAGGAACCTCATCATGAAGCACCTATCCGAAGGAGTTGGTCTTTATGCTGAACGAAATTAGTGGGGAGCTACTAAAAGGTTTTTAAGCAGGAAAATACATAACCAGATGAATGTTTTTGAAAGATAGTTCTGATTACAGTAAAGAGTGGTTTGTACAGTGGACAAGCCTAAAGACTAGTGTCCAAGAGCCAAATGGAAGACTGCTTTGGTAATCCACCTAATAGAGGGTAGGGAACTACATTAGAAAAGATCCAGCGAGCAATTAATAAATATTTGCAAGTTAGCATAAGCAGGGTCTGGTCGCTGACTGTGGGGGAGGTTTCAGGCTTGACCAACAAGATAGCTGGTTAAGCCATTTTTTAGGGTCAAGAACATTCTCTTATCCCATGAAATAATGTATGTGAAAATGCTTTGTAAACTGTAAAGTACAATATTAGTTCTCTTGACTGCAATAGGGGCAGATATGACTCTCCCAAAAAAGTTCTCACCAGTGGGGAAGATAGACATGCAATTCTTTAATTATAATAATAATGATACCTATTACTAATAAGAATAACTATAACTACATGAGCAAATGCTTTTATGTGCCAAGGCTTATAAGAGTTGTACATGTGTAATAACTCATTTCATTCTTACAACACCTCACTTTACAGATAAAGAAATTGAGGCCTAGGGAGGTTATCTAATGTCTCATAGCTAGTAATTGTGCAACTCAGAAACAAACCAATGCTGTCTGGCTCCAATATCTGTGCTCTTGACTGCAATAGTATATGTCA